CCATCCTCAGTCCAGTCCACATATGATATCCTCATTCAATATTTCTCTTACTATTCATCAATATTGTTAAGGTTAACTGTGAACCTGAATCTGTGGTCACAGAGTCATAGACTGCATAAATAAAAACAAGACACTAGGAAAGAAATTCCCTAACAACTGTAAGCGAATGCTATATTATTCTCTTTAGGACTATATATGCCTCTTTCCCTTAATTAACAGGATAATCTGTTTCAATGGATTCAAAAGTTCATTTCAAAAATATAACTTCTGTGTTGCGCTTACTTAGAGAGGCAATAGTCTTTCAGGGGGTCCATAAATCAGGTGTGCAATGAGTACCTATTCTATGTGTAGTATAGAGTAAATATGAGAGAATACTTTAAAAGAAAACATGGTAGGCTTGATCATTTTCATAACTACATATGCTTTATGAGTATTCATGTCTTCGGGCTGGTCCTTAAAAAGCATCTTTAACAATGGATTCTTTATAAAATAAAGATTCCCCATGCTACTTTGTATATGTACCTACAACTATATTCTTTGAAAATAACAAAACTTCCACATTTATAGATGTTTAAACTGAAAGAGACCTTAGTAATCATTTATTCAAATCATTTTATGGTATAGATGAAGAAATTGAGGCCTAGACAAACAAGGGACTTTCCCAAGGTCCCACAGCTGGTTAGAAATTGAGGTATACACAGGACTGGAAGTCTCCTGACTCTTAATTAGGTGAATTCTTTGCTATCCCCCCAAATATTTGTCTTTGCCTAAATCAAAAATATCAGAGTATACTTGTAATGTTAAATACTATAAGCCAGGTTGAAATTGTGGCTGAATAGTCCATGTAATTATGTCCTAAGGCTAAAGTTTAAGTTTTGAAAATGAGGAGTAAAGGGTTAGCCCGCGCTTGACAATCAACCAAATACTGCACGTCACCACTTCATGTCCCAACTACTACAATAGCCTGTTGGTTGGTACTCCTGCCACAAGTCTGTCCACATTCTAGTCTATTCTCCTTTCAGCTGTCAAAGTAATCTTCCTAAAGTGAAGGTCTGTCCCTATTCAATAAATCACAGTTCCAAAGTCCTTCATAAACTGCCTCCACACACTTTTCCCCATTTTCTTATTATCTAGTAACACTTGCCTCCTTGCTGTTCCTCAGACAAGACACTCCCAGCTGCGGACATTTTCACTGGCTGTCCCCAGTGCCGCAGTGTTCTCCCTCCTTGTCTCCACTTCCTGGCTTTCCTGGCTTCCTTCCAGTTCCAGCTACATCCCACCTTCCACAGGAAGCCTCACTTCATCCCTCTTAATTCCAGTTCTTTCCCTTTGTTGATAATTTCCAATGTATCCAGTAAATGCCTATTTGTACATTATTATTTGCATATTATTTCCCCCATTAGATTGTGAGTTCCTCAAGGGCAAGGAATGTCCTTTACATTTCTTTGTATCCTCCAACTTAGCACAGTGCCTGGTACATAGCAGGCACTTCATAAATGTTTATTGACCGACTTTCCTAACTTCCATTTAGGCCCTTCTCATCACTACCAGACACAACCAACTCACAGCTCAAATCCTTTTCTTTTTTGTTCTTTTTTGTTCTTTTTAGGCAGTTGGGGTTAAGTGACTTGCCCAGGGTCACACAACCAGTAAGTGCCAAGCGCTTGATCTGAGGTCGGATTTGAACTCAGGTCCTCCTGACTTCAGGGCCGGTGCTCTATCCACTGCGCCATCTAGCTGCCTCTTAGCTCACTTCCTTTTCTCCAGTATCTTCCTGGAGCCACCAAGAAAGATTACTTTCGTTCTGGAATATGGAAGAGTTCATAGGAGTATAAAAGGCAGGCCTTAATATCACCTCATATTTAGATATTATAATATGTAAATATGTCCACCCTTTCCCTAATGCCTATTTAAGCGTGAACTTATTGGGGGGGGAAACTGCTTTAGTATAATATGCATAATACTTTTTATCTCACAGCTATGTATCACTAAAAATAATAAACTATTAATATAAATAATATAAATATAAATAACAAACTATTAAAAACTCCAGTGATAGTTCTGTTCCTTTAGGAAGTTGCGTTCCTTAATTGAGCTGAAAAACTGACAAATAATCAGAACACAATCAAGAAAGATGCTCGTGTTACCAATTTTCAACTACAATCTCATGCTTTTTGTGGTTATTTAAAAGATAAATAAAAACTTATGAACTTGGGGAGAAAAAAAAGACATCTTAATCAAGACATTGTAAGTTTTTATACTTGAAAAATCAAGTGTTAAGACTGAATTATGCAAAAATGCTAGCTTGACCCATGGAATTTACCTTGCAAATAGGCTAAGGATGCAGGAAAGAATATCTTCCTGGGGACAATTCAGGGTGCTACTGCATCCCCTGTTGTTTACAATCATTGTTCCACGTACCTGATAATATTTAATGTGTATTTAAAACAAGATTTTTTTTCCTTTCCTCTTGGAAAACAATAAAATGACATTTTTTGTGTGTGTAATCACAATCCAAGTTTTATTTTCACAGTTACATAAGATTCCCTTTATATGATACCTACTCTAAGATAATGCACCATGATCTAGGATATTTATCTTTTCATCTCTTTTTTTTCTGACTCCTCTACCCCAAAGGCGAAGTAGGTTTAGGTTGAAACAGCATTATGGAAATATATCCATATTACGGAAATATGGAAAATTTTTTATGAGATGTATAGGATAAGAGCTTCAGCCTTCTTGTGTTACCAAGATGACTCTCACTCAGTCTGATAGAAACAAATAGATTCGTGCTATGAGACGCATTGGCACTAACTGATTTTACCAAGTGCCCCTCAAATGGCACCTTATTTCTTCCCCATCCCTCTTTTTAGCTCCCTTTTATATATTGTCTTCCCCATTAGAATGTAAGCTCCTCAAGGGCAGGGACTCTTTTTGCTTTATTTATATTCCCAGAGTTTAGTAGAATTGCTAAAACAGAGTAAGAGCTTAATAAATGCTTTATCTAATCTAATCTAATTATAAATAAATATGGTATCCTCAATTAAGAATGACCCAACTGAGCTCTACAAATTTTGGATTGTACCAGATCTACAAATTTCCTGGATAGAATACACATCTGTCACCATATGTTCAAGCTTTGGGAGTTTCCTTTACAGTGACATCTGTTAAGAGCAGATCCTCTATCATAATATTTTGAGATAAAATCAGTACTTTATACCCTTCTCTCATAAGATGGAAATGCATTTCAAAAGCAAGTGATTGGAGCTATCTAACTCTTTGAGGTAATCATATTATAGTTCCTTTCCTAATGTAAAAAATACTTGGAAAAGATGAAGGACTGATACACACACACACACACACACACACACACACACACACACACACACACCCAACACCCTCATGAACACTTTGGGTACAGATGAAGTCAATTGATTTTTATTTAGGATATTTAGTACACATTTTGCTCACTTTCATTTAATTATTTCTTAGAATGAATATGGTAACTATGGTTTAAAGCCTTCCTCCACTATTCCTAAATGAAAAGAGAGATATTTTAATTGTTAATGTGAGCCTCATTTCACATTATAAAAATTTAGGTTTCACTCCTTTCACTTCTCCATTAATCTGAAAAAAAGTATGAAAATAGGACCGTGAACACATATACTAAACCATAATTGAGACACCTTTTACACAAGGGAAAAATATATATATATATATATATATATATATATATATATATACATATATATATATATATATATATATATATATATATATATATATATATTATTCTTGGATAGCCACAACATTGTCACACAATGAAGTCTGGATGAAAGGAGAAATGTAAGGGGTGGGGAAGGGGGGAAGAGCACAGAAAGGAATAGCAGAAAGGAAAGAAAAATATATTTTGAAAAAATTTCTTGGTACAAATGAGATTTGACATAAAAGTAGAGGAAAGTGAGGAATCATTTCATTTTGTTTCATTATCAGCATCCAGATGGCTGACTGGCAGAAAAGAAGGGGAAATAATCTTATGTACATGATGAGAATGGGAAAAAAATAGTTAAAAACTGACTAGCATAAAAAGACTTAAAAATGTGTTTTTCAAGAGATCTTTTGTATCAATAGTAAAAGCTTTTTTTGATTATAACCAATTCTATGCTATAAACAATCTTTATTTGGACTATTATTTATCACCAGAATATGAAGAATAATTATCTGCTACTTGCCTAAGAAAACTTTTTTTTTAATTGGTATAAATTTCTTGCTGCAGGAATGCAAAGACATTTTGCCTATTTTTGGTCTTCAACCAAATACCAACCCAACATTTTCACATACCACCCCCTAACAGAAACCAAGAACATTCCTATCAAGTTACTGACACTTAAAACATAAAATTGACAGAAATTTAACATGGACTTGAATATACTAAAATAAGCAGTGCTTTACTTTCTTGGGATGAAATCTGAAGCCCCAAAGCGATTATAGCTACTCCTCTGATGCAATAAAGGTTCAATGATATCACTAACACATTTCATTAAACACTACTATAATTAATCTACAAACCTCTGAACTACCTGAAATTTTGTCTAGCTTACAATAAAAATCAGCAGATTTTTCATTTGAATAACCTCACTCTATATACAGTGAATACTGTTGGTTTATATATGGGTATGTGAAATAATGTTAAAATTTCCATATTTCCTATTTATTTTCAATTTCTCCTCCGTTCTTTCTTTCATCTTTTCATATTCTTTTACTCTTCATTTAAGAAAACTCAATTCTTCTCATCTGTCCCATAAGACACATAAGAGGTTGGGTAATAATAGAATGACCACTATGAATGGTAATATCCATGATCTAATATATTCTGTATTGAAAAACAATTTGCAAAATGACTTCTAGCTTTTAAAAGGGGAAAATGTAATTGAGGTTTAAAATGAAATGCTCTAACTCAAATGATACTATCTAACTATGAGCTTCTGTAAGTCACCCACCTGGGGCAGCATTCGATTCTCCTCCTCCAGCTGTCTTACTCTTGCCTCCAGCTGCCTAACATAGGACAAGGTTGATTCTAAAATCAAAAAGAAAGAACTCACATTATACATACAGGTCTTGTTTTGTGCACTGTCAGGATATTTTTGACTTGATTTATTCAGAAGAGGTAGTGACTTCAGTCTGCCTAAAACCAAATAAACAAATCCCCCAAAGGGTCTGTTTCTCCCTAGGAAAACAACACAACTGCTGATAGTACAAATAAATTTAGACCGTTGTATAATGTTTTTGAAGAATTAGTCCAATTTGGAGGTGGTTAGATCCCAGATTCCTGGACTCCAGCCAGCCTTTTCACATGTAAACATCTTGTAGACAGACAGTGCTTATTAGCTCATACTCATCTCCTAACCCTGTGCTTTCTGAGTCTGCAATAAATTGTAGCAGACATATTTTAAAACAGTCTCTGAAAACACAAGCTGCATGACCAACTTATGCAAAATGGCTAAAGGAAAGAGAAACAGCCTTATGGTATGATACATTTATACACTGATTATGGAAGAAATAAAATCTCCCAACCCCATCACCCACCAACTCTCACCCTGCTCACAGCCCGCAGATCAATCAGTCGACAAGCACATATCAAGCCTTTACTCAGTGGCAGGCACTGGAAGAGGTGCTGTCGATAGAAGTGTAATAAGTGAGATGATACTTACTCACAAGGAATGTATATTCTAATGGGGGAGGCAGGAAAGGAAAGAGGGAGAGAGAGAGAAAGAGACAGACAGACTGACAGACACAGACAGAGACAAATACAAAGAGAGACAGAAACAGGGATAAAAAGACAGAGGGAGACAAACAGAGGGAGAGACATAAAAACAACAGAAAAATAGATCTACGTATGTAATCCCAGGACTACAAAATCAAAAGAGCCAGAAGGGTTTGACACTTTTTTTTTCATTTTTGCGGGGTATGATACAATTTACCCAATGGATCTGTGAATTAACCATTGCCTACCCTAAAGATGACCCTCCTTTAGTGATAGCTGGGTTTCAAGGTGAGTCCAAGGTATGTTGTAAAAGGCCCAGAGGATGGATAAATCTCTCTCATTTTCTGGATCATTTACTCACAAATTCAAACCCTACCTGAATATCCAAAAATAGGGGAATGATTCCATTTCAAAATGATGCAATAATGGAAAGGAATTGCTTTACAAAGCAATTAAGATTGACAGTTTTCCGAAATACAAAGAACTTGCGGAAAAACCTTTATGAAACCATACAAAAAATAAGTGAAACCAAAAATACAGAACAAGGAGATTGGAGTATGTACCATAACCACATAAGAAGAAAAGCAAAATGAGAATGAATAGAATCCTGATGGGACTTAGAGAGAAAACCTTCTAAAAAACACTACGATCCTTTATGTGTTGAAACTAATTAAATGATATCAAGGAAGTATATTATTTATGCTGATGTTTAATTTATTCCCAATACTTTTTTTAAGAAGTCAAACCATGCTCTCTTAAAAGGGCATAAAATCAGGAAGAGGGAAGTACCAATCATTTGAAAATATCAATGTTTCCATTTTGTTGCTGTTGTTCAGTCGTGGCTGACTTTTACCCTATTTAGGATTTTCTTGGCAAAGATATTGAAGTGGTTTGCAATTTCCTCCTCCAGCTCATTTTACAGGGGAGGAAACTGAGGCAAATGGGGTTAAGTGACTTGCCCAGGGTCACAAAGCTAGTGTCTGAGGCCAAATTTGAATTCATGAGTCTTCCAGATTCTAATCTGCTCTATTCACAGTTCCACCTAGCTGCCCTAGCTTCCATCAAAAAAAGATCAAATTGTCACCATTCCAAACTATGTTGAAACCAATTTCAGGGTCCAAATAGGAACAATATGATCCATCACTGCTGAGTGCCATCTGTGAACAAATAAATCTCAAATACGGTGAAAGTCAAGGATAACACAGTTCCTCAAGCGCAGATTTCTATATATTTTTCATATGACCATTTTTAGCAAACAAAAAAGCTGAAGAGTCTGATTCATTACATTGTTCTTCAACTTAAGAAGGAGAAAAAGAAAAAAAATTTTTTTTATTGTAGGATGCTAGGATATTTGGGAAGTATATGCTGATACCCCTTAAGTTATGTAAAGTTGGAATATTAAAATGACTTAATAGCCAAATCTAAAATGTACTATGTAAATAATTATCACTTTTATTTATAAATTCTTTGTGTAGGCAGAAGCTCAATTGCCTTTCTATCACATCCACAGAAGCAAATGAAGAAAAATTTTTAATATACCACTATTCTCTTTAAAGAAAAAACAAAGAAGCAAACTATTTTTAATTTAATATGATGTCACATGGAGAGAATCAGTCCTTGATGATCAAACATAACAATGGAAGGATCTGCTCTCACCAGCATCCCTCAGTTCTTCTGGCTTCCACAGAATGAGGAAGTTATGATTCTGAATCCAGATTCCTTCAAAAGGCCATACTTGAGGACCTAGAGGGCCACAGGTTCCCCACTCCTGAATTAGATTGTAACTCTACATCTCTTGACCAGCTAAACAGTGGAAGAGCTAGTGGGACAAAATGGTTAACCTTGACCATTCCATAATTTAAAAGAGACAAGAACATTAGAGATACAACAAAGTGGATCAAACTGAAATGTTGAGGTATGAGCTAATATTTTACTGTGATTTTCAAAATGACCAATGATTTTTTTTAATAATCACTCTAATAGTCATTTCTCAGTCTTCATCCTTTTTGATTTCTCTGTAGGATTTTCATGACACTGACCATGATTTTCCAACTACCTGTCTGACTTTTCTTTCCTCGGCTCCTTCTTCAAATGCTTTAACTGTTGTGGTTGTATCATCAAGGTATTTATCTGGGACGTTTTCAGTGATTTCATCAGTTTCCATGGGTTTAGTTTTATCTCTATACATAAGAGGCTAGCCTCTTGTTCTCTTGAATAACAATTCCATATCACCAATAGTTTACCAGTCATTTCCAACTGGATGTGCCACAGATATTTGAGTTTATTTTTCTATAAAGCATTTTAAGCCAAACAACATGGAGTATCCCTCCCTTCCCCCAAATCCTTCCTAAATGCCAGCTATTGAAAATTTCATTTCTTGCAATTCAGCCATTTTAATCTAATTCCTACATTTTACAAAGGAAAAAACTGAGGCCTAGAAAGGTTTAGGGTTGTTTTTTTTAAGAGTTATTGCTCCTGACACTTACTGTAAATATTTTAAGTGTTCTTTTTCTTTTAGATTATAAAACATTGAGTAGTGATTTGCCTGGTACATAATAGATATCTAATAAATGCTTGTTTCCTTGCCTTGCCTTTAAAAAAAAAAAGAAAAAAGGAAAGAAGAAAGAAAGAAATTCAATATGTCCAAAATAGAATTCATTATCTTTGCCACCATGTCTACCCCTCTTCCTAAACTTCCCTTTCTTTCCAAGGCTCCATCAACCTTCCAGTCAGCCAGGTTAGCAATCTTGGAGTCATCTTCAACTTCTCATTCCCCTTGACCACCATTCCTTCACGTCTAGTCAGTTGCCAAGCCTTAGCAATATTACTTCCACAAAAATTTTTGTACCAATACCCTTCTTTCCATTTACACAGCTGCCACTATTGCACAGGAGTATATAACCTCTTATTACAAGAGCCTTGTAATTAGTCTTCATGGCTTCAGTCTCTCCTCATTCCATTCCATCTTCTATTGCTCTTACCACTTCATTCCCTTTCACAAAAAGCTCCAGTGGTTCACTCTTGCCATTAGGATAAAGTATAAACTGCTCAGTTTATATTTAACACACTTTATAACCTGGCATCAACCTACCTTTCTAGGCATTCATTACTCTTGTCCATGTATTTCAGCCAAACTGGCCTATATGCCCCTCCCCATGTGTTACTATCCATCCTTCATCTCTGTGTTCTTCCATAAGGTGTTCCCCATATCTAGAATTCACTTTCCTCAGCTCTGCTTCTTAGATCCCTGTCTTAGATCCTGTTGAGGTATTACCTGACCCCTCAGTTTCTAGTGCCCTTCCTCCATGAAAATATTTTGCATTTATTCAAACTCACTAAGTTCACTAGATTCTCTAGTATTGACTCCTTATTAGACTTTATTTTTAATTCCTTATTATCCTCTCAGTCTGTTGACCAGCTGTAAAATAAGCTTAATAATACTTGTCTTTCTACTCTCAGGGAAGCTATGGAAAAGTGTTACATGGATGTGAGCTATTACCAAACACAGAGCATCAGTATTAGCATCAACATAATTTTGAGTAAATTCCAATGATGTTATTCTTCCTTCAAAATGTCAGCAGAAATTCTCAATGGATTTTAAATTGTATCAGAGACTGGCGCCTTCCTAAATGATTGTCCTTGGTTTGCCTTTATTTCAATTTACCTCTAATTGTTTCTTAGGCCGTCAGGTAGGCTAATTTCTGCTGTATCCACTACCATTTTGAAAAGCTCAGGCATCACATTACATTTTATCCTGTTTCCTGTGGCTTTCTAAGGCAATGTGTATGGGTTGGGTTTTTTTTCTCCCTTTTGGTTAGCCCTCATCCCTGAAATCATCTATGAATTATTTTGATTATTGCTATGCAATGACTGTTTTACCATGGACAACTGAAGCTGTCTGATCTCTGTCAAATCTATAAGTGGCAACACTTTGTGAGAATGTAGTCTGGTCAATGAAGAGCTTTGGGAAAAGGTGAAAGCTGCACATAATATGCCCTCACCACTAGAGGATTCACGTAAAGGGGAGAAGAGGTGAGAGGACTGGGAGGGAGGAGAACTACTCATTTATTCAAACACTTCCTTTTCCAAGGATCTGTAGGAATGTTTTCACTGCAGACACAATACCTGCACCTACCAGGAACCATCCCATAGTCATGTAATTCTCAATTCCCAGTAATTCTCCCCATAAACTCAGCCTCCAAGGACAGAGCTCTGATTGTTTCAAAATTAGATCCTACCGTGCACTGGCTTTTATGCATTCCAGAGGAAATTACTTCAGAAAAGTATTACTAAGATTATTTTTCTTTGGACCA